AGGAAGGAAGGAAGGAAGGAAGGAAGGAAGGAAGGAAGGAAGGAAGGAAGGAAGGAAGGAAGGAAGGAAATGAAAGAACAGATTTTTTTGGCTGCTAACTCATTTGTCTTTTACCTGTTTATGGCAGCCCCATTGCATTGATTAGCTAATGATCTCCCCTGGTAACATCCAGCCTCGCAAATCTGTCTTGTACTGATGAATTTCTTGTTACARTTTTCTGGGAGAGTCTATGGTGGAAATAGTCACGGGCTATAAATATTCTCACAGTTCAGGAATTCATCAGAATCAGCCAAGCTCACTGCGAATAAATAGAGCATCAGCAAAATGTAATTTGGAGGCTTTGTGCTACAGCACTCATTTGAGCTTTGCAAGTAAAATTTCTTTTTTTTTTTTTTTAGAAGAAACACCTGCTTACTAATTAGTTTTTCAGTCATTACTAAACTCATCCTAAATAAAAGCTGGAAACTTCCTCAAGGCTCTTTAGGATTAAACCCCCCCCCCAGATTTAGTGCCATGCAGCTTAGGAGAAACCAAGGAGCACAGCTCCCCTCCTTGCCATCAAGTGAAGCCTGAAGGAATTAGGCATCTAAATGGACCACAAAAAAGGGAAGACAGAGGTCACTTGCCTAGACTGCACCTTGGCCTGTTAGGGTTTTGGAAAACTGGAAAAGAGCTTCAAAATTCAAAGGTGGAATACGCATTAATTAACTTTTCCTGACTTACATTAAAGTTAAATCAAAGAAGAAATTGCACCATTGAGAAATTGAAGGAATTTCACAGAAGTCCCGCTTTGTTGAAAAGGGCGGGGGGGAAAGGCTGCGCTTGCGGGAGCGCCAGCTCCATGGGCTGGATCCGGACCTTGGCATCGCGCTCCGGCAGAGAGGCGGGCAGAAGAGGCGGATCAATACCAGAGCAGTCACAAAAAAGGCATCCCAAACAAACAAAATCTGATTTGCCAGCAACTTGAGGGCCACCACCCTCTTATTTTAGGCGACTTTGTGCTGTTTAACACTTTCTTGTGGATTGATGTTCCACAATTAAATAGGTGCGAGGCCACACGTGAGGATTTTCCAGGCAGTTTCTCCTCCTGGCTTTCCTGCTGAAACTCCAGGGTAACGGATATTTCTCTAAAAAACAGGCGAGAGCCGGATTTGACCTTAGGTTCCTGTTTCAAACAATGTCAATCCCTGCAAATATGGAAGAGGAGCGGGTCAGAAGGTGCATTAAGMTGCCTTTTGCCCAGGAAAAATGTAGGTAGTGATTTTTTTAGGTTGTGACTTCGAGTTGGGCTTTCATCTTGCAAGATGCATTGATGTTATTTACAGTGCTGGTTTCTAGCTACAAATCTCTCAGAGCTAGAAAGCTCGGTCTCCCATACAAACCAGGTTTCCTCCCTCTCAAGAAATATTTCATTAAAGTCTTGGTAAATTGAATAACAAGGCGTTTTTAAGGAGYGTTTTTGCGAACGCACTGGAGTTCCTAATGAAGCATTTGAATTCCTCCTTGACACCCGATTTCCTTTCCAGCACAGGGCCGCAGAAAATAATTTGAATTATTACTTCTGTTGCTGTGCCATTTTACTCAAAATATTTTATTCGGAGATTCACATATAATTACCCACCTAATAAAAGGAGCTATTAGGTTGTAAAGATCCTATCCTTTCCATGCTCTTTTAAAATTATGACCCACTCAAGCTTGAAATCAAAGGCAGAGCTGAATGGAATAATTCATCTGAAACTCTCTTATTGGGTTTTGCAGCCTCCTAACAGATAAATATGCAGATTAGCTCCCTTTTGGTGATTCAGCTGCATAAACAGGGATTAACTCTGAATGCAGCYGAAAATTTAGCAATAAAATGTATGCACACAAAATTTAGTCAATTCAACCAGTTATAGTTGTCACTAAACACTGTGATATGCAGCTAAAGGACTGGGACAAGAGGGAGGAGGGAGCACTGAAGAGCTTCACGCAGAAGCTGCTGCTCTCTTGCTTCTCCTCCCTGGCTACTTAGAGCAACCAGAAATACCACCCGGGCAAAAAGTTCCTCTAATTCAGTGGGTTTTTTTACCAGGCCTCTGTGGTTCATCTTTTTGGTGCTTTTCCACCCATGGAAGCACTCTGCATTTACCACCACGACCTTCTCCACATGGATGTCGGGTCACCTCGTTTCAGCAGGTGCCACCAAGAGAAGAGACCACCAGGTCTCAGCAGGTGCCACCAAGAGAAGCGGTGGCCGAGTCTGCGGAGCTGATCCCTCCTGCCGGAGGTGGCAGGAAAGGACTGGGGAAACCTCGGGTGCCTTCACCCAAAGGTGCCTTTTCTCTTCGCCGCTGGGCCAGGCGGCCCTAGCAGAGCTTTCCGATGCAGAAATGTTTTATCCCAAGCTTAAGCACATAATTACYGGGTGTCAGAGAAGACTGCGGGTTCTGCCTGCTTTGTGTAAGCACSGGGCGGCTGGCTGGCACCGTGCCACCAGCGCAGATTTCTGTCAGGTTCCTGGTGCTCTCTTTGCCATACATAAACCACTAACTGAGGGAGGATTCACAAATGCTGGCTCAAATGGCTGAGTTTTACAGCAACTTGCTCATACCCACCACTTGGGCAAGAAAAGTGGCTGAAATGAGAAGAGCAATGAGTAACTGGCCTTTCTGCTTTGTGCTGTTGGGAGAAACTCTGGATTTTTGTGTGGTGGTATGGCTATTTGCTATAGGAGCTTTTTGCATTCAGCAATAACACACAGAGAAACAAAAAGAGTGAACTACAACACCGTCTCATGATGGCATGGTCTATGCTTAAGAACGTACCTGCATGAGGTAMGACTAGACCTACACAAAGAGCTACGAACCTCTACTACGTAAAACAAGTGAGTTAGTCATGACAACTTGAGCTCTACGAAGACTAGGAGATCAACATGAGCAATCCAGTAGCATTGGCTACTACTCTGCCATGAGGATGTCAGTAGCGTTGGCAAAGGCCACGTTTCCATCACTTCAGATGCCAGAGCTAGTTAGGTAACATTCTTCTTCTTTTCTTTTTCTTTCTTTCCATTATTCTTTTCACGACTTTCAGGGATCCTCCTTGCACTGAAGGAATGGTGTCGAGAAGACGATGATTTCATGGGGTCGAGGACAGGTGGGAGATGCATGAAATACTGGTATGCTGCAATGCTCCTGGATAATAATCTGTTCCTCACTAGCTGTTAGAAGGCTGAGCCTGTGATAGCATTAAGTTGCTTCATTAGCCCCTCCAAACTGGCCATCTGTTCACTCAGATCATCCTGTTCATAAACCTGCAAGCGAGCAAACACACAGCAGTCAGCGGGCTATGCTCAAATATATACATATTCTCAAACATTCATCAAAAAAGGCCTTCTTTAGGGCAAGCTGCAGCTGCTCACTGCAAAGGTCGGGCTTGCTAATTACAAGCTCACGTTGTCAATGATCCCCAGTTCCTATCACGGCTTCTAGTGGAGGGAAGAGGATGAGAACACTTTTCAGAAGATGCTCAGGCCCTTCCAGACTGGGCTAAAAATAACGCTCTGATCTTGCAGCAAACCTTAAAATGTTGAGCACTACATCACGTACCTATTGCTGGGAACCACTGACCTCACAAACTGCKAAGACGAGAGCAGGAGACCTGAATCTCTGCTTCCAAAACTGCTCCAGCATTAGTTATTTATGTGGCTTTTACAAGGTAGAAGATCCGTAAGTGCTAAAGGAGATCTGCAGTCCCCTAGGTGGAGTGGAGGTAAGACTGGATAGCTTAAAAAAAAACACTGGCAGACTTAAGCTTAAAAAAAGCTGCCCAAATTGTAGCCTTCATCCCCATTTTTTGATTCCCCAAAGAACTTGTTGCCTGCACCATTACTTCCTGCAACCGCTCTCCCACTTGCGGAGCTTAAGCATCATCGCTCCTGAGAAATAAATTGTGTTGCTGCTATCAAATAAGGTATGGAGAGCTGAAACTGCATTTTGCATTATCAAATGTTCTGTGTTGAATTACTCTTTTTTTTTCCACTGATTTTACCAAATAGAGCTTTTTCAGGGTTTTTTTCCTCCTTCAGTGGAAGACTCCATGTCTCCTGCTTGCCCCATGCAGGAGAGGCAGCAGGATCTGGAAAAAAGCTCAGGGCCACAGCTGGGCTGCAGAAAGGTACATAATTATCTTTCTAATATACGACTCCCTTTCCGCCAGCAAAATGTGAGAATCCTTCTGTAACTACATACAGAAACATATTTTCATGCTATTGATGACGATAAACAGGAATAAAATGCTATTATCCTACATTTGTAAGCCAGCAGACCGAAAACGCCCATACATAAGTGTGAAGCAAAACTTTTGGTTTTCCTTTTAGCCAAGCAGAAAATGCAAAAGGATTCATTAAAAAGATGCTGGACAAACCACTGCTATCATGCCCAGCAAAAAACTGTCCTGTGCAAGTAGATGAAAAGAGATGATATGCAACATGCATTTAATATACATCTTTTTTCATTCCTTCTCGTTTGCACTGTTTCATCTCCTGGACGCGACATCTTTCTCTAAGAGAGTTTTAACGGGAGTGAAAATATTATTTTAATGTCATCATCTCTTCACTTCCATTTATCTGCCCCTCCAATATTAGTTTTCGTTCCATTATCAGCCATTCCTGTGTATTCCTTCTTCCTGCCAAAATCGCTCTCTTCCTTTATTGCGTTTCCCGCTCCCCTTTTTCTCTGCTCCTGTTATCTCACGGGGCTCAAGCGGGGCGTGTGAGTTGTCCCGTGGACGGCAGTAACAGGGAACTGAAGGGGCCAAAGTTTTACCGATTGCCCAAATCTACTCATTTCCCAATAGAAAGCAACACTTTCGGTTAACAGGGACCACACAACACCTAAAAACTACTACAGAGATGGAGGTACCGCGTCTCCGTGGCCGGGAGCTTTGCCAGGAGGCTGGCTGGAGGCGGCTCTTACGTTAGCGGTGTCCTCGGTCGCCTTGTGTCCCTCCTCGGAGACCTCCGGGGCCGTGGGCACGGACACGGGCAGCAGGGGCGACCTGGCCTTCCCGGCCAGGCCGAGCGACGCTGTTTTCACCTGAGCCTTGGGGAGGCTGGGCCCTGCAGGAAGGAACCAGAGGCACAGTGAGACCCGCAGCAGGGGACGTGGGGAAGGGGAGCAGAGGAGCCGTGAGGAGCACCCAAGCCCGGCCGCACGTGCCTGCACTGCCAGCTGGATGCTTGGTTTGAAGGGAGAAAGGGAGGCTGGSGAGATGGGAGCCAAGGGCAGGAGGAGCCAAAGAGCTTTTCCCTCTCTCACTGCTCATTTCCATGCTTCTTGTCAACTGTTATCCCAGACTCCTTCAAAATGACAGAAGCCCCCAAGGCAGGTCAGTAAATGAGCTCACAAAACTGTGCTTGGCCTCTAAATAATGTTTTCTAACTTTCCATCCCAATTTGGAAGGAATCCAAAATACAGATGGGGTATAAAATACGATCCCCCTTTACAGAAGGGGGGTTCCCTGTTTTACAAACCGCTTAAGAGTTTTGCCTGCCCGAGCAAGAGCACTTGGCCAAAGAGGCACCAGCTCTAGCACTGCCTGTGACTCGATAAAGACACATTAACCAAAATGCCCCAGCTTTCTTCTCATAGAAATTAGAAGTCCTTAATGATTTAAAATGTCAGTGAAGAAAAGCAGGGTCCTGATCGATCCACCAAACTCCACTCAGCACAACAGGTCCGACTGCAGAGGACACTGCTGGAGGCATAAGAGCTGCCAACAGAAGGTTCCTCTATGTTCCTCAAGGTTCCTCTGTGAACCTAAGGCCAGTTTGATGTTCCTACATCTACAGGCCAGTCTCCAGTCTGATAACTGTCCAGGCGAGTGCATTGCATATCGAGGTCTGTAAAACCCTTCAAACCTCCCCAACTGCTACTTGGGATGCTTTGCCACACAGTGACATCCAGACTCATATAGGGCAGAGATCCATTTCCACAGGACACTTGAGTCTTTTCAACACCCCTATAAACCAAGACAAAAACATCACAAAGAAAAAGGAAAACACTGGCCCAATAGCTTCTTTTCTTCATACTCTCTGCACAATCTTCTTCAGCAAAATCCTTTTTTTTTCCCTTTTTGAATTGTGTGCTATACAGATGATAATGACTACAGCTGCATGTGAATTTTCTGAAATTTCAAAGAACTATGTTTACATTTTTAATTAAAGTCAGAGAAAACACAACGGAGCGGAAGAGAGAACGAATTCCTCCCTACATGGAGCTGCCAACAGAACAGTCAGTAGAACTAAGACCCAGGAAAGAGCAGCAAGACAAGGGCAAAATGGGGAAGGGCCCCACAAGGCTGGGAATCCTGGATAACCTAAATTTAACTGAGGCTCTGAAAAGGAGAAAATTCAACACAAACTAAAACAGATCCCCAAGGAGATGGGTTCTCTCCTCCATCTCCCTCTCTGTATCTAAAAACTTCCTTACTAGCTGGGCCTTCAAACTTTTGGAAGTGCTTTTAACTTCCAGTTCTTAATCAAAAGATTATTTTCCAAGAAGAAATTCCATCCCTTCCCTTCCTTTTCAGCCTTTTGATGCTCTTCCTCATATCTCCAACCCGGACACGGAGTTCCTTGCAGGCAGCAGTATGAGCATCTGTCATGTGGGAAATACAGAGTAAAACTGCCTTTTTTACAGAGTAAAAAGGCACCGCATCTGGGTCGTTTATTGGTTAGATAATGCACCAGATAGATAAGCTTTTTTTTATACACATACAAGTGGCTTCTCACTGTGACTTGTTTGATCTTCATGGACTTGTGGAGAAGTAAATATTGGATGCAAGAGTGAGGAGCTCATGTAAAATGCAGAACATGTTGCTGCTGCAAAACTGTAAATCCCACAGTAAAAATCATGTTTCTCATACGTAACTCATTAATTGCTGCAATTGCCCTTAAAGACCTGCTTTTCAGCGCCAAGACAGATGTTCCCTCCTGGATATTGTTAATGAGAAGCCATAACGATGATTAGAAAGTTCAGTTTGTGCCTCTTCTGCCCTTTAGCTCGCAAAAGCAACAGGCAAACCATAAAGCTGGAAACTGAAGAGAAACTGAGAAAACGTTGTTCTGGTTTGGCTGCAGATTTCCAGCTGTTTGGTAAATGCCTTACAACGCTATCAGAGACAGCGCTTGCAATGCATAATTAGTACAAGAGGCGAAACCCCTTCCCCAAAGGACATTAAGAAGACCGAGCAGTCCTCTCAATGAGGATTCTGGACACAGAAGGCTGACATGCTGAGCAAACTAATTTATGCAAATGAGTAGCTAATTAAATTAAATCACTTTGGTTACTGATGATTTCCAATTCGGCGGGAGCCTCAAAAATAATAATAAAAAAGCCGGGGCTGGAAGCGGCGCTGCCGGGGYAGGGGCAGCCCCGGCACCGACTCACCGCTGCAAAGAAGTTTCCTGCTCTCCGCTGGGTTATTAAACACTTCCTTGGCTCATTAGTTATATAATATACGACTACCAGGTGCAAACTCCAGCTACTGCTGCTTTTCAGAGGCACGTATTGAACGCTCTGCATTAGCACCCTTTGCATTTCGGCAGCGCCGCGCAGCAGCACCGAGCCCGTGGGCACGTCAAAACGGAGCAATTTGCCAAATCGAGACGCATTTGTGCATATCAGATCAGATGTTCCTGCGATGAACACCGAGTGAAAACAATGCAGAGCTCATTCTCCTGATAGCAACACATGGGGAGAGATACTTCCCATTATTTTGTTTTGCATTCTGTTGCGTTGGACAGGAGCTGTGTATCCAGCCAGGAGATAACAGCTTATTTTAATGGGAGGGCTCAGGAATTCTGCTGGTGTTCCTGGGGTCAGTCCCTGGCAGCAGGGAGACACCAACATGCAGCAAGCATCAACGGCAGCTCTGTTCACCCCAGTGGATCGGATGTCCACATCATGCACAGCCACTGTTAATTCTAGRTTGATTCACGTGTTAAAGACAATCTGAGTGAAGATTCAAAACACTGACATGGAGAAAAACTACAGAAGATAAAGATGAATGCAAAAATTTGGAGGAAATGGTTTAAACAGCAAGAAATTGTGCTTAATGGAGAATCACTGGGTAGGAGAAGTCAACTGACGGGGTTCCTCAATTCTGGATTTAGGACCAAATTTTTCTGATGCATAAAACAGGCGTGTGATTCTGAAATCTASTGCTAGCCAAAGCACAGAAGGCATCATTATCCAGGCACCAGGAGAGCTGGAGGGGAGCTGCAACACCAGCAGGAACACGGCACAGCCCTCCCTGCCCCTCTGCTGCTCATGCCACCCATGGCAGGTCCTGCAAGTTCCTTCAGCTGTTTAAAAGAGCGGGGTGAGCTCTTCAGCTCCTTCAGCTGGCTATTTAAGCTTCCTCTGGAACCTATGGGAAGAAGAAGCTCCCAAAGCTTTGGAGATTTGCGATGAACTGTCTTCCCAAAGGGCCTCTCCTCCTCCTTGGGCTGCACAATGACCTCAGGTGACTGCATGGAGCAGACACCTATTTTCCTTAGATGGCTAAAATCAGCTAACCAGGTCTTTGACAAGTAGGAAATGGCAATGTTCAGCTTCTTGTGGCTAGCACCTGCTCCAAAACTGAAAGGCCGTGCTTGCTCACACTGCGCTTGGTTCTTCTCTGCTGTTTTCACAGAAAAAAAAGGCTTCCCCAAACCATCGTCAATGAATTAACCTATTTTGACTTATGAATTATACAGTGGGATGCAGAGAAGCTTTTGCTTTTGGAAGAATGAAAGCGTTTCTTGAATACAGCYAAGAGGTATCCTGGATGCCGGGACCATAAAAGTCAAGATAAGCCACAGAAGTCAGAGGGTGATCTCAGACTTGTAACTCCAAAACCCAAAACCTTTTCTACCCACATATTCCACACCTTTTCCACGGTTTCATCTAACCAACAGGACTAAGGCGAAAACCGTCTGTGTCATTAACTGGGTCTGTTATGAAACAAGGGAAAAAGTAATTAGGATCTGCAGGCGCAGAAGAACCCACGAGAAAGCCTCCAAAGAGCCACAGTGCTTACGCTGTAATTCTCAAAATCAAAAGGGAACAATGTGGAAAATCAAAGCGATTTAAGAACTGCAGCTGTCCCAGATGTTTCTGGAAGTAATGAGGCTGGCAGCCTCAATTTCAGAGGGTGGAGAAGGACTGCAAGATGCCAATGCAAATCTAGATTTTTCTCATTAAATAAGTGATCGAGGTGGGATGTACTGCCCCCCTTGCAGTACGGAGATGTTATTTTGCTGTAAGTATTTTTAGGATAATAGAAAATCATAAAAAGAACAAACATCACTAACAGGTCAGTCRGTATTCTCACCTGTAAAAAAAAAGTGTTTTATCAGTTTAAATGGATTGAAAGATCAAACATAAAGATGAGAATAACATCTGGAAATGAGCCTCCTTGTACCTTCATGACCAAGTGCTCCCATATAAGACAGTGTCTCTAGGGGGTACAGAATATGCAAGTATATGAAAACATTATTTGGTGACTCAGCTTTACATTGCAGGTGGGAAAAAAGAAAAAAAAATCATTTTTCATCATGAAATTGAGTTTTAAAAATGGCTCTTGAGATGATAATCCATGGGGGCTTGGCTCATTCCACAGGGGAGATACTTCTACAAAGGGATAAAGTTTAATTTAGGAACCTTTGATATTGGGAGAGAGAGAGTAAAAAGAGAAATTGAGCACAGAAAGAGGTCACTTAAAAACACAGTACTGAGCATGTAACAGGGCTGTGTATTCCTGCGGTTTTTGAAGCAGCACTCATGAACCTCACACATTTTTATGCACTAAGGCTTCAAAATAGGTATAGAAACTGTGAGTTTGTAAAGGACATGTTAAGGCAAAACCACCACCACAGGCTGCACAAAGTCACTGAAATACGGCAGCTATTTGCTAGCTCTTTTCTCAGTCTTCTCAGCTGTTCTTCATCAACATGGACATCTTCATCAAAGTATACTTTAAAAACTTGTAGCTACCCAAAACCTTCCCTTAGGTCTGTTTTTAGTGAAAATTTCCCCAATTTATGACCTTGCTGCCTTCTGAACCCCAAAG